TGACTTGAGCTGGGACAAAGAGGGGTATGTATTACAGGAATGGAAGGGGCATGTGGGTGGATAAATGCATGGAGGTTGGAAATAGCTAGATGTGATCAGCTAATAAGTAGGAGTGTGGTTTAGTTGTAATGCAGAGTATACGAAGGGGGATAGTAGGAAATAAGACTAGAAAGTTAGGTTGGTGCCAGTTGTAGAGGACCTGAAAAGTCAGACTAAAGATTCATATTATCCTGTAAGCAGTGGGGAACCCCTTCACACTTTTCAGCTGGGGAATGAAAGGGTCAGAGCTGCACATTTGGAAGACTATTTGGGGTACTGCTTGAAGGATAGGCTAAAGAAGGGAGAAATTATCATTTAGGAGAGTTTCAATGGCTATTATCACTTCACTTTTCATTTTCAGTTGTGTTTTGCAGTCCTTTAAAACATTTTTACTTTTTTTTTCAGTTAGAAATAGTCAAAGATATATGAACTGGCAGTTTTCAAGGGAAGAAATTCAGGCTGTCACCAGCTATATGAAAAAATGTTTCAAACCACTAACAATTTAGAGAAATGCAGATTAAAGCATGAGGTTCTACCTCATATCCATCAAATTGGCAAAGTTGACAAAAAGGAAACATTTTTTCCTTTTTTCTCCCCCTTCTTCCTTCCTAAGGACAGTAACTATGAAATAAGTATCATTTTTATATACTATATAACTTGTGTAGACTTTAGAGAGCCCATTCTCTCCCTTCTGTTCATTTCTGGACCCTTGTCATTATTTAAATCATTCATCCAAGTTATAGGCATCAATGGGTTTAATCAGTAGGTTGCTTATCTAACTACATATCATAATCTAAGCCAAGACTTCTTAAAGTTTTTCCACGCAGGACCTCTTTTTGATCCGCAGCTGTGCTGAGGGCATGTAGTGCAAAATGTGTGTGCTTTGTGTTCAGAAGCAAGGCTGTGGTGAAGTTGCCTGATGGAACACAGTCATGCATTGCCAGAAACACGTCGTATTCATTACACATTTGATTTTTTAATTAATTTTTGGTTGTGCGTTCAGAAACCTTTTACTGTTGCCATATGGAAAATGCCAGTCTAAGCAATACACATACATGTATACACGCACATACATATACACATATACACATGCATACATATACGTTTTAAAAGTACATTTTGTTGGGGCAGCTAGGTGGCACAATGGATAGAGCAACGGCCCTGGATTCAAGAGGACCTGAGTTCAAATCCAGCCTCAGACACATAACACTTACTAGCTGTATGACCCTGGGCAAGTCACTTAACCCCATTGCCTAGCCAAAAAATATATGTGTGTGTGTGGTACACACATATATACACATATACATATATTCATATATATATATATATATATATATATATGTATATATATATATATATATATATATGCATTTATACGTATGTGTATATATATTTTGTGTGTATGTGTGTGAACCAAGCCTTTTCATATTATGTATTTCACTAAGGAAATTTTTCTTTTTGTTTTCATATCCCAGATTCCTAACAGACACAGAGCTTTGCAGAAGTAAATTGGATTTAGAGTGTTTTGTATTGAGTACTATTACGACAATATTATCTGCTATAAATGTCCAAATCTAATGTCTTGCCAGGGCAGGGAGGTAATCCTAGGTTCTCTAAAGCTTATGCCAATGTACAGGCTCTGGAAGCTTCTACCAAGTGGGGGAGTTTGCTTTTTTGTTTTTGTAATGCTGCATTTTGTATGTGCACATCTGTCAATGAGCATTTATTAAGTACCTGCAGCATGCCAGGCATTGTGCTTGGCTGCAAGGGTAGACACTTAAAATCAAAAATAACCCCTGCCCTTGAGGAACTTATATTCTACTACTGAATCATTTCCAACTTGATCACAAAATGGGGAATTTCCCAGACTCATCACTTCTTTTTTTCTTTATTAATAATATGCCATTCCCTCCCCCCATACATATAAAAACAAATTTTAACATTAGTTTTTTAAAAATCTTGAGTTCCAAATTCTCTCCCTTCCTCCCATTCTTTCCTCCTCTCTGAGATGGTAAGCAATCTCATATAGGCTATATATGTGCAATCATGTAAAACGTATTTCCATATTAGTCAGAAGGAAGAAATGCTTTGGTCTGCATTCAAACTATCAGTTCTTTCACTAAAGGCAGATAGCATTTTCAACATGGATCCTTTGGAATTGTTTTATATCATTGTATTGCTGACAATTGCTAAGTCATTCACAGATGTTCATTATATAATATTGATGTTACTGTGTACGGTGTTTTTGGTTCTGCTCACTTCACTCTGTATCGGTTATGTAAGTCTTTCCAGGTTTTTCTGAAATCAGCCTGCTCCTCATTTCTTGTACTACAGCAGTATTCTATTACAATCATATATCACAACTTGTTCAGCCATTCCTCAGTTGATGGGCATCCCCTCATTTTCCGGTTCTTTGCCACCACAAAAAGAGTTGCCATAAATACCCTTGTACAAATAGGCCCTTTTTCCTTTTTTAAAAATTTAAAAATTTTATAACCCTTTGGGCATAGTTCCAAATTGCTGTCTGCAATGGTTGGATTACTTCAAAACTCCACCAACAGTACATTAGTATGCCTATTTTTCCACATCCTCTCCAACATTTATCATTTTCCTTTTCTGTCATATTAGCCAATCTGATAGGTATGAGATGGTACCTCAAGAGTTGTACTCATTGGCATTTCTCTAATCAGTAGTGATTTAGAGTATTTTTTCATAGAATTGTAAAGAGCTTTGATTTCTTCATCAGAAAGCTACCTGTTTATATCCTTTAACCACTTGACTTGTATTCATATAAATTTGACTCAGTTCTCTATGTATTTGAGAAATGAGGCCTTTATCAGAGATACTTGCTATAAAATTTTCCCCCGGTTTTCTGCTTTCCTTCTAATTTTGGTTGCATTGGTTTTGTTTCTGCCAACTCTTTAATACAGTCAAAATTACCCATTTTGCATTTTGTGAACAAGGTAGAGAGTTTTTGAGTCCACTTCTGGTACAGACTGTCTGTTGTCTGAGCACTAGCCTAGGAGGAGAGCCTCATCCCCATTAAGTTAGCTGGTTAAGTGCTGAATGTTTTGACTACAGTACAGATGACCCTCAGTTTTGCCTATCTCCCTTGTACTTAGGCAATGAGAGGAGTGGAATGTTAGCTAAAGAGGGCAGAGCATGCCAAGAGCCACAATTTGTAGACAGACTGCTGTTCTATTGGAGTTTTGTCGAGTGAATGCATTCCCCCACGGATATTGACATTCTCCTTATAAGAGAAGCCAGGAAACACAAAGCAGGGTAGCTCACAGTATCTTCTTTGAGAGGTAAATGAAGAAATGTTTTTTGTCATCTTCCCAAGGTCAATAAGAAACCAATTTTCAGTATTCTTGGTCATGTTGTTTTGCCTTGTTCTTGAAAACAAAAGCCAAATAGATCAAAAAGAAGGTAATGGGAGGAATACATGTACCAAGATCTGCAGCAGCACATGAATTAGTAGAGAAAGGGCCCTCAAACCAAGTCAGCATGTCCCTTTCTGTGCTTGGTGACTTTGATGTGCAAAGGTAGGCATAGGGGAAGATGGCCCCCAAAATATCAAAAAGTGAGGTTCAGGATCAAGAAATGAGAGGCTTCTCAAAAACCTAGAGCCTGTGTACCATGAATATGTTCTGGACAGTTGGAAGGCTTTATTACGGCAAGCACAAATATCACCAAAAATGAAGTTGATTGTATCTTCCTAAAGATAAGATGTTAACATTGTGGTGAGTCTTCTCAGAATCAGTAGACTCTATTCAGTCAGATTATTAACTGAGTAGAGCAGATGGCACCGCCAATACCAGATTAGAAGAAAGAATAAAAGTGAGAAGAGACTAATTAATGGCACCTTCACCTCAACCTGTTTAATGAAATGGTGATTAAAAAAAATTTACTTCCTAAGGGATGAAAGAAGTCACCATAGTAAGGAGGTAGATATAGTCAAGAAACCACATCTACAAGCACTTTATCTCTCTGCCAAGTGGAACAACATGACATCCAAGGGCAGGTGGAAAGTTTGGTGTGAGATTTAGCCAAACTAGGACAACCCCAAAGCATTTGTAAGTATAAATGGAGGGCAACAATTATATGTGAGACAGTAGGGATATTTTGGTATTTTTATGGTTATCTATATTCCTTTCATTGACAACAGTGGAGTTGTTACAACTACTATCTCAACACCCAGTAGTCTGTGTAAGGAGATGATAGTGACGCTGTCCTCTATTCAGTCTTCCTATCTCGACCCTCTTGCTTCCTCCATCTGTCCACCTTTCTTGCGACTGCCATGCTAGTCTTCTTGTGTATCTTGTGTAACACCGGTGGTGTTACTCCTCTAATTAAACATCTTCCATATTAGTGACAGAGTAAAATTAAAATTCCACCGTCTAGCATTCAAAGTCCTTTACATGGGGAACCACCAGAAGGCCTTCTAGCCTTTCCTCCTGCTTCCTCTCTTCAGGATACTCTATGCTCTAGCCACACTGACTACATACTATCTTCTGTACATGCCCCAAACTTTCCCCCTTCTTGCCCGTTGCCATGATGTTCATCTTCCTGCTTATTGAATTACTGCCCATCTTTGGTTTTTTTTTTATGATTACCTACAGTTTTCTTTTTAGTCTTATTTTTATTGATATCTTTTGTCATGATATCACCTTCATGCTTCAGATTTGGGTTGAACTGGAAAACCTCTCAGGTCTGCTTTAACTGTTATGATTAGATCACTTTTTAACCTGAATTTGCCTGTTGGGGTTGAATCCAGAAGTGGAGAAAGGGGGCATGAAATATCTGTTAATTCTTGCTCATCTCTAAGACCTTGAGTGCTGATCTCTGGGATGGTGGGGAATGAAAGCAGCAGGTTGAGAGATGCTTGTCCCATGAAGAGGCTTAGGAGGAGGCGGCAAGCTGTAACAAACTTTTGTTTTTTGTTTTTCTTTGTCTAAAAGAAATACAACCTGCTGGTAACTTTGATCAGTCCAACCCTCTCAGAATGTTGAGTCACATCGTTAGCAGCTCCAGCTTTCGGCCCTTCAGCCATCGTGTCCTCTCCTGGATCCGATCCACAGCTGGCTCCAGACCGAGTATGTATCTTAACCTCAGAGTCAGGTGAGGGTTGCAGGGAAGGTGGGACTGAAGAAGTGGGAGTGGAGGGGGAATGCAGAGGAAAGGAGAATTTCTGTCACCCTTGAATGTGACTTGTGAAGACCTCTCTGTTCTACTTCTGTTCCTTTTCTTCATTTCTGATGGACTCCCTGTCAGATTCCCCACAACAGCTGCTCCAGACTCCTTTCTCTAACGCCTTTTCCATCCCCAAGGCTCTGTTGTGGGTCGTCTTGATGAGTGGATGACCCTGACTTCCACTTCACTGAGAAGAATGAAGTTATCCACAGGCTCACAGAATTGTATTAGGGTTGGAAGGGACTCTACCAACCATTTAGTCCAAACCATAACCCACGAAGAATTCCCTGATACATAGTCATTTGGCCTCTACTTGGATTCCTTCAGGGAAGGGAATACACTACCTCCTGAGTCAGCCTAGTCTACCTTTTGACAGTACTCATGGTTAGGAAGCTTTCCTTTAAGTCAGCCATAAATTCACCTTTTTCTGACTTTCAATGATTAGTCTTGGTTCTTCCCTTCGTGGCCAGACAGAACAAGATTAATTCCTATTGCACGTGACAGACCTCAAATGCTTGATTATAGGTATGGTGTCCTCACCAAATGTCTGTAGTTTCTTCATGCCTAATCCTGATACAGTGTCCTCATTGCCCTTCTCCTAATGCTGGCTCATCAATGGCCTTCCTAAACTCTTTGTTCAGAACAGAATACAGTATTCCAGCTGTTCTCGAAAACTCTCGTGGCAAGTACAGTGGGACTAAAAGCTGCTGTGCCTATCTCCATGAAGCTCAGAATTTGATTCGTTTATTAGCTATCATATCTCACTTTTTATTCATTGAATCCTAGAATTGAAGAGTTGCAAGGCATCTCAGTGGCTGTCTAGGCCAACTCATACACCAAAGGATTCTCCCTGTAACTGTGCTTGCAACCCTCAGAGAAGGGAACCCACTAGTTGTTTTGGGGGGGGGGTGGTAATGCTTTGGACTGCATGACTTCAGACTTTTTCAGTAGTTCTAATTGTTAGGAAGTTTTCCTGATGTCTAGCCTGAATTTACTGTGCAGTTCCTACCTATTGCTCTGGCTTCTGCTTTCTGGGATGAAACCAAACAAGGCTAATATTTCATCCACAGGACAGTATTTCAGATCCTTAGCTATCATGTCCTTAGTATTGAATACAAGCTATTATGTCCCCCTGAATCTTCTATTCAGGCTAAAGATGCCTTGTTTCTTCAACCAGTCTTCCTGTGGTACAGACTCATACATGCCACGAAGGGAAGAACCAGGATCAGTAGGTGACATAAGAGGGTCAGGTTGAAGGAACTAGGCGTGTTTAACTTGAATTAGGGAATTCACCAAAACCTTTGGGTTTTTTTTCCTAATACAAACTGTCTCCTATCTATCATGAATTCATTCATTTCCCATACTACACTTGTAAAACTTCCCTGTGTTTTCTTCCATCCTTTCTTCTTTGCTGTACTCTCAGAGGATAAGATTGACCTACTTGAAAAGGCTAACCTCTTCACTGGAGTCTTTTATTTTATCCCCTCCTGTTTCCTTTGTGGTTTACTCCATTGATCATTCTCTTTTCCACCGTCTCTTATCTGTTGGTTCCCCTTTTATGGACAAACAGGCTAATCATCTGTACTTCCTTCATCCTTCTCCTTAAAAAATGCCTTCCCTTGACCCTACCATCTCCTCAAGCTATCATATTCATATATATATATATATACATATATATATATATGTATATATATACACACACACACATATATATATGCACACACATATATACATATATATGTATAGACATATCTTCTCTCTTTCATTGCTAAATTCCTAAAAAAAAATCATTTATACTCATCACTTCCCACAAAGCTTTATAATTTGGCATCCTTCCACTCTAGTGAAACAACTTTTACCAATGACCTCTTAATTGCTAAATCTAGTGGCCTTTTCGTAGTCTTTATCCCTCTTGACCTTTTATCATTATCAACACTGTTGACTCCTCCATTCTCCTGGATGCTTTCTCCCAGTTTGGCTTCTTTGATACTACTTTTTTCTTGTTTTCCTACTTTCCTTACTTCTCCTTCAGCCTACTTTATTGATTCATTATCTTCCTTCTGTCCGCCTATGTGTGAATATTACCAGAGCTTCTGTTCTAGATCCCTTTCTTTCTCTGCAATCTCTCCCTTAATGATCTCATCTACTCGTAGTAGGTTTAATTATTGCCTCATGCAAAGGATTCCCCAAAACTGTATATATTTTTTGTGTCTTTTATTTTACTTTTTTTCACAATTACATGTAAAATAATTTTTAACATGTGTTTTTAAAACTTTTGAGTTCTAAATTCTGTCCCTTTCTTCCTCCCCTTCCCCCTCTTTGGAAAGGCAAGCAATTTGATATAGATTCATGCAAAACACATTTCCATATTGGCCATGTTGCAAAATAAAACACAGACCAGAAAAAAAAAAGAGAAATAAAGTAAAAAAAAAAACCAAACCAAACCTATTCTTCGATCTGCATTCAGATTACTTCAATTTTTTCTTTGAAGGTGGATAGCATTTTTCATTATAAGGTCTTTGGAATTGTCTTAGATCATTGTATTCCTCACAATAGGTAAGTCATTCTTAGTTGACCTTCATATGGTGTTACTGTCTACAATGTTCTTTTGATTCTGCTCACTTCACTGTGCATCAGTTTGTGTAAGTCTTCCTGGGTTTTTCTGAAATCATCCTGCTTGTCATTTGTTATAGCATAGCAGTATTCCATCACAATCCTATGTCATAACTTGTTAAGCCATTCCCCCCAAAACTATATTTCTGACCCTAATCTTTTCCCTAAATTGCAGTCTTACGTCTTCAATTAAATGCTAGGCATATCTAACCTGGATGTCCTGCTGGCACCTCAGATTCAAAATGTCCATAACTGAACTTCCAACTTTCTTATTATCTTTTGATCACTTATTCATTCAGTCACATAAACTTGAAAACTTTGTTGTTTTTGACCTTCCTTTACTGCTAATATCTTAACTGTTAAGTCCTGGAAATTACATAGAACATCTCTTAAACCTGTCCTTATTATTTTGAGTCATGCTACCACCATTCTGGTTCAAGGCCTTCAATACCTCTTGGGTGAACTATTATAAGAATCTTCTAATTGGCTTGCTTTCTTCCATTCTCAACCGTTTTCAGTCTATCCTTTTCATAGCTGCCAAAATAATCTTTCAAAGTCACTGATATCTTGTTATCTTTAGGATAAAATTCAAATGCCTTAGCATTTAGCCTCCCCGCTAAGGCTTTATTTCACATTACTTTTATTCATGCATTCTACATTTCAGTCAAACTAACTACTGGCATTTCCTTGAACTCAACATGGTATTTTCTGTCTCTGTGTGTTGTGTTAGCTGTCACCTCTACTACTTTCTCATAATCTGTCACAATTCCCTCCTTCAAGACTCAGCTCAGGTACCATTTCTTCTGTGAAGCGAGCCTTCTCTGATGATCCCTTCCTTCTATCCCTAGTTGAAAGTGTTCTTTTCCTCCTCAGATTTTCCTGGAGCTCTGTGTCTGGAACTCTCCTTGGCCCCATTATATCTGTCTTATGTAGTGCTTACCTGTCTGTATGTCATTTCTTCGCTAGTAGAATGTATGCTTCTTAGCCATGTAATTTTTCTTTCTTTATTCATGTACCTTGCACCAATAGTGTCTTGTACATAGGATCTCAGTAAATATTTGTGGAGTCCATTATTTTATCTGGAAAAAAATCTAGATAGTAGATTTAATTATAATCTATTAAGTTTGTGAAAAGTGTTTTTAAAAAGATTTGGCTTTTGGTTAATTTTTAATTTTTGCTTTCTGTTTTCTGTTACTTTTTTGTTTAATAAATTCTAAATGATTATTAATTTTTTAAGCATCAATCTGGCCTTAAAAGAATGCTCCTCTAAAGTTTTACAAGCTTACTCATTGACTTGCTAGTCAGGAGTCAAGAAAGGCTTTAAAAAAAAAATCCCCAGAGGCATAGCTACATGACAGTGAGAGGCATGGGAAGGGGGCTAGAATTGTTCCCTCCTTGTAAATTATAGAGCTACCACCTGCCCTGGCATTCCTGAGATCCATGGACCCCATGGTCCCCATGGACAGGTTGGCTCAGCTTTGCTTCTATACCCCAACTTCAGCCAAGCGTCTAATGGGTAGATGGGCTTTCTGAATGCAGAGATAATGGGGTCCTGAAGACCTTTTCGGGTACTTGTTGCCCTGGGCCGCCAGCAGTCTGTTAGCAGCATCCTATCCTTTGGGTTTCATGGCTGTCTCTGGGGGTCGGAAGCAGAACTTCCCAAATAGTTCCTCGACCACCTCCAGCCCCAGCTCAGTGAAGGGTCTTAGGCTGGTGTGACATCTGGACAAGTCCAGGACCAGACTCAGATGGCATCAGGGATCCACAGAGCCAGAGGACACCTTGATGATGGTTCACCCATACCCTTCCGTTTTCAGAGGAGCAAATTGAAGCTTACTGTGGAAGAGACTTTCCCAAGGTCTGGAGAGGAGCTGATAAACTGGGACTGGTGGTCTGTCCCACCCAAGGTCCTTCAGACCGCTAAAAAGCTATTGGAAATCTCCTCAAGGCTTCTCTGCTGAGGCCCCATCCTGCCCCAAGGCCAGATCTCTGGGGCACTTGGCTGGAGACCACTTGCTATACTGACATAGAACCAAGTTTCCCCCAGTTCTGAAGCCATCACCACACCCCGTCTTTTCCAGCAAACCTTCAGATAGGCCTTTCCCCACTCTCAATCTATCCTTTGGGATAGGGAGACATGATTTGTGCTGCTGTGGCCACATCTCTCCCCCCATTTTTGAGACAACTGGCTGGGGAAATGGGGGAAGAGGACCAAGGTCTGGGCCCCCTGAAGGCCTGATAAGATGGCTCCACTTACAAACTCCTCAGGGCCGGCGTCCTCCTTTCTCAATGTGCTGATAGGGAAAGGAGAGACCCTGGCATCCCAAAATAATAAACAATTAAAAAAATAAATTAAAAAACAAAACAAAACAGAGGCAGGTGGAAGAGATGGTAATTTCTCTAGCATTCCTTACACAAATCAAAACTTTTTGATGTTTTTAAAAAATTGGTAGCATCTCACCCACATCTCTTAATGTTAATAGCAATGTAGATAATATTAATATAATTATGAATTTTCAGATCATGTTGTCCAACCATTAATGCGTTTGTTTTCTCTGTAGCATTCAACATCCAAATGAAGACTTCATTGTCAGGAAACACATGACTCTCTGTGAAAGCCGATTTTATTTCCGAGTGGTCTCAATGGTTAGGAACATTAGCTGTCCAGTGACTTATATTCAGATCATTGAAAGAAAATATTTTCTGAGTGTTAAGAATATTTCACCTTAGCAATTTGGTTGCATGGCAGTCAGTGACAATCCATTAAAAAGTGAAGGAAAGGATCAAAGTCCAACAAGGCCACTTTTCCTTTCAGAACCCCCCAACCCAACCCAACCCTTCCATGCCCTGAATTAAGGGTCTGTGGGTTATCTGTATGACAGGGAGGACATTTTCAGATGGACTGACCACAGTTTTCGTAATTCAGCAAATAATTACTTAATACATATCATGCAGATGTGGAAGATACAAAGATGAATATGCCAAGGTCCCTGTTCTGAATTATCTCTGTGTAATTGTGTGACTCTTTTGTGTTCTATGTGCTGTATGTTTTTATAATAGTCTAGAATTTATGGTCCCACAAGCTTGAGCTCGTGCGTGTTAATAGTGCTAAAAACATATTGTGGCAGCTCAGTAATGTCAATCAGCCACAACAGCAAAATTTTTTGAATAGTCATATTGACTTGTAGGGTTCAAGCCATCATTTTTCAGCAGCAGGAGGTGGCTCTTTTATTTGGCTTGTATTTTGTTGGGGATTTTTGTTTGTTAAGGATATTATTTTCCCCTGATCTCCAGATTGTCTCATGCAACGACTGGCCTTCAGACTTAATTTTTCTCGTTCTTGGAGCAACATTCCCTTCATCACGGTGCCGCTCATTCGTACCCATGGCAAGCCTTTTGCCCACCGGAGTGAGCTAAAGCATGCCAAGAGGATTGTGGTGAAACTTGGAAGTGCCGTGGTGACACGAGGGGATGAATGTGGCCTGGCACTGGGGCGGCTGGCATCTATCGTTGAGCAGGTGATTACCAACACCCACACAAAACCTTGTAAATTTTGTATCCTTGCTGACTTGAAGACCATGCTCCAGTTATCAATGTCTGAAAAAGACCAGCTCAAAAAAAAAAACCTTCCTAATTCACATTTGAGTGAGCAAATCTAGACGGTACCTTCATCAGTGTAGACCACAGTGGTAAAAGAAGAAAATGGCAGTCAATGTGAGCGACGTCATAGGGCACCAACAGCAAAATGAGTGTCGGAGTGATGGCATTCTACCCACTCAATTCACATCCCATTTTGATTCCTCAGAGAGAAGCACTAGATGTAAATAAAAGGTATATTTATTTAATGTGACGTTTTTTAATTATGTGATGATAGAATTCATGTGAGCCTTCCTTAGTTTTACCTAAAAGTCTTCAAGAAGCTGTTTTCATTCGGCTCTTGTGTGGGGGGTCAGTCTCTAAGGCGAAACTAGTACACAAGACTGTTCTTTTATTCTTTTCTTTTTCACAAAATAATTGTAAGTCTACTTGCTGTTGACACAGTACCTCATTTCCACTTCACCTGCATCCTCACCATCTCATGAAACTGCTGCCTTCAAGTTCCTAAATCTTAAAATTCCTCTCCCTGACCCCAGTCTTCTGTCCTTTGACATTTGCCAGCTTCCTTGCCTGCATTACACTTGTTCTTTGTTCTCAGTATGACTTCTGCTTCCTCTATCTCACTTTATCTCAGTCTGTCCCTCCCTCCCTGGACCTTCTGCTGTCCCTGGTCTTCTCGTCTTCATTTCTGGAGAGCTTCCTACAATTCTCTTTTGTGGAGAGAATCTCAGAATACATCTGATTTCATCCACTGTACATGTGTGGTACATAACCTCACTGACTACCTACTACTCAGGGATAAGGAGAAAGGCCTCTGGAGTTTGTAAGCTGAGCAATCAGTGAACCAGATTGACAGAGCAAGTGGCAATAAAGTGGAGAGAGAGGGATGCAGTTAGACTGAACCATGTGTACGGGGACATAGTGCACCCTTGATAACTGTGGGCATACCGAACTGGTGTTGAATACAAACCAAAGATAACAAATTGTCATGAGCTGTTAGAGGAAACCCTTACATAAAATTTAATAGAGTCTGTATCAACAAAATCAATGCAGCTAGAATAATGAGAAGCTATTAATGTTATCTTTGGTAGACTGAATGAACTTGACATATGTTTGGTGTGGTGTCTTACCATCATCAATTTGTCTTTCTCATCTTTGCAGGCATCCCTGTCATGTGACTTCAGGTTTTTCAGTTTTCAGACTCTGTACAATTCCAAAAATGTTGCCTTTGAGACTTTCTAGCTGTATAGTTATTTTTTCTTCCTACTTCAAGTAGTGCCATCAGGTATGACGTCCATCATATTTCAGATATGTCATGTTTCTTTCCTAGGAGGACACATATCCTTTCCTGAGACAAGTCTTAATCTAGGCCTTTGGTTCCAGTGAGGCAAAAGCCAGGGAAGCAATCTACATTTGTGTGTTAAAAATTGTCTGCTTTGTTTTATGATAACCTCTGTCTTTGTATAAAAATTGCAGTAGATTCTTAATAGGTCTTCCTACCTCCAAAGCATTTTTGTGCTACTAAACATTGTCTTTATGCATTGATCTGGTCAAGTTAACTTCTCAAAGCTCTTCAGTAGTTTCCAGTTCACTAACATTAAGACCTTCTTTGAGTATGTTGCTGGGCTGAGTCTTAGGCGCTGGCCACACAGTGATCAGAAAATGGCACATTTTCCCTCAAGGAGTTTTCATGACTGCCAAGGGTTTTGATGTACACAGAGTACAGTTTGAATTGAGTAACCGCCAGGCTCCTCTCTTTGATATTCAATGCCCCCCACAATCAGGGATCATCTCATACTACTTCCCTTCAGGGATTCTGTGTCCTTATCCAACTGGACTGCTCTTTGCCCTGCCCTTTATGCTTTCACCACCATGCTTTTGCACATGCTCTTCCCTAGATGCCTTTGGCACTCTGGTAGAGTCTGGATGCTGTCTCAGAGTAAGTTTTCTTAAATGTGTAAGATAAGATTAATAATATTATAAAGGAAATAAATTAAGTTGAAATTCAGTTATCAGAATATTAAAAAACAAGTTCACACACCCTTTTATAGAGGGTCTTGGAGGTCAGTTAAAGGAGGTGGGACAGAGGTATTGAAAGTTTTTTGAGCAAGAAAGTAACATAATGAAAACGGTTTCAGATAAGGAATCTGGCAATCTAGTTATGTAGGATTAATTGGAAGAAGAAGCTGGAAGGCCTTATAGGAAATCCAGTAGGAATGGCAAGAGCCAGTCTCTAGATCAGTACTGGTGGAATGCTAAAGAATCAGAGTATTTCTCAGTAAAATAATAATACAGGTGCCAGTCAGGCATTAGATACTAGCACTAAATAGTCTGATAAGGGTGAATTGTCTAGACTTTCTCACACTGACTGGATTTCCTGCACCTAGGCTAAGGCAGGAAGCCACAGCCCTGCACCTGGTCCTCAGTGGTTCATGGGAATTAGTGCAGGAATTACATCTTCAAGGAGACTCTAGGGGCAGGCAGGCTGCTTTCACCAGTGCTTTCCCTCCTGAAATCAAGATTAGAACATGAAAGGAAGAGTGGGACCAGCTTTTGCTCAGTGCGTGAGAGTACCTGCCTTTGGTTCCTATTTTAGAGCTAATGACTGAGTACTTGAATCACAGAGCTGGAAAGGAACCATAGAGATTGTCTAGTCCAACCCGTTTGTGACAGTGGAGAGGATTCCTGGGCTTATATCTGTTCTTTCTGGCAGGTGTCGGTGCTACAGAATCAAGGCCGAGAGATGATACTGGTCACCAGTGGGGCTGTAGCCTTTGGGAAGCAGCGACTGCGGCATGAAATCCTCTTGTCTCAGAGCGTGCGGCAAGCCCTGCATTCAGGACAGAATCAGCTCAGCGAGATGGTGGGTCCGTGAGTGCTCAGGATGCTTAAAGACATCCCCCTGTCCTTCCTAACGACACGTTGTCTTGTGCATCTTTTGCAGGCGATTCCCGTCTTGGAGGCACGAGCCTGTGCAGCTGCTGGACAGAGTGGACTGATGGCCCTGTATGAGGCGATGTTTACACAATATAGCATCTGTGCTGCTCAGGTGAGAGCTTGTCATGCTGTGATTGAACAAGCCTAGAATTTCATCTTCAGCTTTTCTGTGAATTCAGTAGCTTAAGGAAGAAGGGAGAGGCACTGTGCTTAGCACTTTTCAAACAGTATCTCATCTGACCCTCACAACAGCCCTGGGAGGTAGGTGCTGTTATTATCCCCATTTTATAGTCAAGGCAGGCAGAGATTAGGTGACTTGGCGAAGGTCATCCAGCTAGGAAGTGTCAGGCCCTACGCTCTGCCCTACGTGCTGCCTCAGACCAAGGGTGGTTTGCTTTACCTTTGTGCTTCTGATTCTCTTCATAATAGAATCCCTCATGCAGACTCTTTAATTAGTTTTGACTTAATAAAGTATGTGCCAGAATAGAGAGTGTTTGTGAGTTGTGATTATTACCCTGAGTGTGCTGGTGCTCTCACTGTGATTCCTTGATATTTGGCCAGAGCCCTTCTCCATAGGCCAGGGCTTTCCAGTTCAGGCCCCTCTTGTGACCATGGTCCTTAAATCATCCAGCTGTCCAGCATTGCAGACAACAGAACAGGCCCTGATAGACTTGTCCAGGGTCACCAGTGCATGCAGGACTGAACCAGGTGGTCTCACATTTTTCGCATTCACCATGTGTCTGGTGTCATTCCTACACGCAGGTGCCAGACCTTTAAGATTCTACTTTTACTTTTTAAGTAGAGAGGACTAGGTCTCTTTCAGCTCAAAAATTCTTTGATAATAAAAACAGACAAGTTGGTTTTTATTGCAGAACTCAAAAATTCACTTAAGTATTCATTTAATGCCTTCCATATGCTAGGTGATGAGGTTACATTCCGTACCCTCAGAGACGTGGCAGTTTAGCAAAGTCATGACACATGAACACAAATAGAGATGTCACACTGAAGTGCCTCGAAGAAGTCAAAACAGAAAGGCAGAGATGAAAGAAGGAAAGGAGGATTGTGAAGGTCTTTTGGGTAAGGTGGCAGCACCATTAGACCTTGAAGGAAGGGAAGGATTTCATGTGAAGATGTAGACAAAAGTTGTTTCTGAATTGTCACATGGTGTATAGAAACACGTGCCTTGTTGAGAGGGCTGGAGGAGATCAGGACAGGACTGTTGTCGCGTTGGGGTAGTGTTCAGGAGGGCATGCATGAACTAAAACTAGAAAGATGGACTGGGTCCAGATGCTGGAGTTTCTCACATGGCAGTTTGAGGAATTAATCTTTAGGCCGTGGGGAGCCAGTGAAGGTATTTTAAGTTGCTGAAAAGTCTGTTAGTATTTCAGAGGGCACCTTTTGACTCCCACCATTCCAGTGAACAACATGGAGTCATTTGCCACAAAACTTATCAGGTTGCCCATCTTCCTTTCCATTGCCTTTTTGTATCTGTAATCTTATCTCTCTCCTGGTTTTTTTTTGGTCACTTTCCCCTTCTGTCTTTGTATTTCTGATTTTTCTGTGTTTCTGTCTTTTTTTTTTTGCCTCTGCCTATGTCTGTCTCTGTCTCTCCCTTTCTTGTTTAAAACTGTCAAAACATTAACTATCTCAGCTCTTTAAGTGTTGTTTCTGTTGTGTAGTTATCCAAGTGTTTCATCTTATTCACTAATCTCTCTGTAGATAGCACTCCTGCTACTTGCCCAAGTTTTTATCTCCAAATGGACTTTAACTTTTGTCCTGTGGCCCCTTATCTTCTCTAATCATCCTTTACAAAAGGCCTTTGTCAGTACCTTTCTGAGAACCTTAAGTAAATTGTGTGACCATGTCAAAGATCTAAACAGGCTTGCCAAGTTTCATTTTTTCCATCATGGAATCTAGGCTGTCTGGTGTCTGATTTACTTCTCCGAGCTCATGGAGGTCAGTTTCCTATCTCTGTGGTTGGGATCATGGCTCTGTGACTTATAGAGCCTTTTCCTCAGAGAACTTTTTTGGGCTTTTTTGAAAGTCTTCTTCCTCCTTCCTTTTAAGAGCTTTTTTAAATTGATTCTTTTATTGATATACTCTCCATTATCACCAACGCTTTTATCCTTTCAGTTCTAGAACCTTTGCCCCCTGGATTAGTCAAGCCTCAGAGACAACTTTGTCCCCATAAAATGGGGAAAAAATCCATGGCATGGACCCTGGTAGATATTGTGTTTGCCACAACCCCTCTACCCTACCTGGACATTTTCCCATTCTTAATGTTATACGCAATGGCAAGAAGCATTTTCCTTAGATATTGGGAAAAAAGTAATAGCTGATATTATTAATATAGCATTTGGTAAATTTTGAAAGAACTATACATAAATATCTCCTTTGATCTTCCTAAAAAACCCCTGTGAAATACATAGCATAGGCAGTATTGCCAATTTGGGTGATTAGACTTCTGATTTCATTGGTATAGAGAATGTCTGTACAGAGGCTTCCTCTGCTAATACAAATGGGCATTTACTGGAATCTTACAGTGTTAGGAGTTCCCTGGTGCTTTGCTCAGGATCTCACAACCATTATGTATAAGAGGGAGGTCTGGCAGCCGGGTCCTCCAGGACTCCAGGGTTCTCCTGGGTCCCCAGTTGTTACACTACAAAGTGTATAGAGGATGGGTCAGAGAGGGGGAGAGACAGGAGCAGGGCGATCACTTGCCTCTTGTTTTGGCACTGGCAATAAGGACAGATTTCAGCAGAATGAGACACATCGTGAGTCAGACTGGTAAAGGACTGGTAAATCAATGTTGACTTGGCCCACGTGTTGGTATTTCTTTACCTTGCACTTAGTTTGCAAACCTGGGAGTTGGATTCAGTTGTTTTAGGGAGTTCAGATCTGTTTGTGAGTGGTCATAGATACTTAGATTTCCAAAGTGACCTGAGGATTGACCAGACTTCTGAAAGTATGGCATGGCATCCTAACGTCCTGCATGTGGTAGAGCAGGAATTCTTAACTAGGGATCTGTGAGATTGTTTTTAAAGATATTTTGATAACTGTATTTCAGTTTAAGTGGTTTCTTTGTAATCCTGTGGATTTTACTTTATGCATTTAATAACATTCTGAGAAGGGTTCCACAGGCTTCACCAGACTGTCACAGAGATCCATGATACAAGAAGGGTTAAGAACCCTCATTAAATTGATAGCCGCTTCATCCTGTGTGGGATACCAGAAGCTCCCATTCACCGAATAGCTATCATTTTGATATGGCCACCTAGCCAGGTGCTTGATGTAGCATCTTTCCCATGTGTATTTAGCCTGATTCTTTCTCTCTGACATTTTTTATTTCTTTGTTCTTAGATTTTAGTGACCAACCTGGATTTTCATGATGAGCAAAAACGCCGAAACCTCAATGGGACACTTCATGAGCTGCTCCGCATGAACATTGTCCCAATTGTCAACACAAATGATGCTGTTGTCCCCCCAGCTGAGCCCAATAGTGACTTGCAGGGGGTAAATGTGGGTAAAGTATTCCTATGGGTCGAGCCCCTTGGAGCTACTAATGCCTGCCTGTGCTGCATGTACTAACCACCCCAAGATCCAAAAGTATTGATGAGAGTGAGATGAAGATGAAAGATTTTGGTCATGAACACTGAGTGAAATAGGAGGAATTTTAGTAGCATCAAATGGCCTAGGTTCCTAGGAATATAACTTATTAACATTGTACAGTGGATGGGAGGCTGCATGATGCTTCAAAGAGGGGTCAGGGAACCAGAGCCTGGGAGTTGGGAGAAGGAAACTTGGGAGTCATGTAGCTCGACCTCTCCCTTTACAGATGAGGAAACTGAGACCCAGAGAGCAGAAGTTCCTTGTCCAAAGACACCCAGGCGACAAGTGGTGGAGGCAGGATTGGAAGGCCAGGCCCTCCCACTCTAGGTCTGCTTCTCCACTACGTTTTTCTCAGGAAGAATGGGCAGAGAAGACTATGTAGCTTAGACTGCAGGGACTTTGGCTTTATTTGTTTGCTATTTGAGCATGCCTTCATGCTTATATAGGTCCCTTCTTAGGTAGGATGGTTCATTCATGACATTTTACCTGAATTCTAGGTCATTAGTGTTAAAGACAATGACAGTTTGGCTGCCCGTCTGGCTGTGGAAATGAAAACTGACCTCTTGATTTTGCTTTCAGATGTAGAAGGTATGTGGTGATGTTTTTTTCTTTCATCTGTGACCACATCTAAATCCTCTGAGTATTGTCTAAGATCCCTTCCTGGTTTTGGAACCTGGTAAACACTGCTCTGCCTTTCTCCATTTTCTTCTTCTTCCTAGAGTTTGGCATACCTGCTTCCTGGCTGGCTGTAGCTGTGTCCTCACTTTTTTAAAAAATTCAGTTTTGCTTTGTTTTCAGTTCTGAGTTAACTCCCTCCCCTAACCATTGAGAAGGCAAGAAAAACAAAACCCATTACAAATATGTATAGTGAAGCAAAAGAAATGTGTGCGTTAGCCATGTCCAAAAAAAGAACAAAGGAAAATGATCTGTACTCTGAGTGTATCAGCTCTTTTATCTCACGTGGCTGTTATGTTTCTTTGTGTGTCCTATGGAACTTGGTTAGTCATTATGTTGATCAGAGTTACTAAGGCTTTGAAGGTTCATTATCTTTATAATAGTTGTTATTGTGCAAATTATTCTCCTGGTTCTGCTCACTTCACTTTGCATCGATTCATACAAGTCCTCTCAGTTTTTTTCAGAAATCATCCCCTTCATCATTTCTTACAAGAAAATAGTATTCCATCACATTCATATACCATAACTTGTTTAGCCATTCCCCAGTGGAGAAATACCCTTCAGTTTCTGATTCTTTGCCACTACCAAAAGAGCTACTATAAATATTTTTGAGTGTATGGGTTCTTTTCCTCTTTCTTTCATCTCTTTGGGTAGATACCTAATAGTATCACTGGGTCAAAGGGATTGCACAGTGTAATAGTTTTTTGGGCATATTTCCAAATTGCTTTCCAGAATGGTTGGACCAATTCACAGCTTTACCAACAATGCATTAGTATATCAGTTTTCCCACTGCCCTTTCAGCATTTGTCATTTTTCTTTTCTGTCATGTTATCCAATCTCATGGGTATGAGGTAGTACCTCAGAGTTGTTTTAATTTTAATTTCTCTAATTATCAGTGTTTTAGAGCACTTTTTTCCATATGGCTATTGAGAGCTTGGATTTCTTCCTCTGAAAACTGCCTATTCGTATCCTTTGTCCATTTATTGCTTAGGGAATAAATGGCTCTTTGTGTTCAATCAGAAAAATTTGATTCAGTAAATCTGACTCAGTGGCCTTTATATCTTAGCAATGAGACCTTTATCAGAGACACTCACTGCAAAGATTCTTCCACGTTTCTTGCTTTTCTTCTGAACTTAGCTGCCTTGATTTCGTTTGTGTAAAGCCTTTTTACTTTCATGCAATTAAAATTACCTATTTTGCATCCTATGACCCTCTCTATCTCATTTGGTCATTAACTCTTCCCTTAGCTATAGACCTGACAAGTGATTTCTCCCATGTTCCACTAATTTGCTAATGCAATTTTTTGTATCTAAATCATGTTTCCACTTCAAGGTCATCTTGGCTTATAATGTGAGATGTTGGTCTATACTCAGTTTCTGCCAGGCCAGTTTCAGTTATCCCAGCAGTTTTTGTTGACTAGTTAGTTTTTACCCAATGGCTGAGATCTTTGGGTTTGTCAGACACTAGATATATTGTGCTCATTTGCTTCTGAATATCGTGAACCTAATCTGTGCTGCTAATTGACAGCTATTTCTTTTTTTTTTCTTCCAGCCAAAGACAAGGTTTATTTAAAGATCTGCCATATTAGCCAGACTCTTAAGGAATCTGAGCAGCTGTGAGGTATTGGCTAGATTGTAAAAATCTGAGCAGTGGCTAGATTATGAGAATCAGAGCATCTTAATGGAGACAAGATGGACCATAATTATATACAGAAAGACTGTGGGAGGGCCAAGTAATGGGGGGGAGAGGGGATGACTGTGAGGGTATAGAAAGCCAGGGACCTGGATCAGATGGCCAGGGGAGAATGGACTAGGTTTATTAGAACATCTGTCTGTCATATTGGGCAGACTCTTAAGGAGTCTGAACATTAGTGAGCTATTGGCTAGATTTTAAGAATCTGAGCAGTAGCTAGATTTTAAGAATCTAAGCATCTTAATGAAAACAAGACCTTATACACAGAAAGACTATGGGAGGGATCTAGGAGTGGTCCAGGGAGAATGGAACCTAGTTAGGATTAAGGGAGGGAAGTGACCAGGGGCTTTAGGGGAGGTAAGACAATGGAGAGTTAGGCTAGATTAGGGAAACAGAATTGGGAGATTGGGTTTAGCCACAATGAAAGGCCAGTTGATGGGATTATAGCCTCAGGCAAACACCAGAGATTGGCCTTGTGGGAAGGTCCAGGGTTTTTCCTTTTTGAGGTCTATTTCCTAACCTCATCACTTTGACCTCCAGAATATTATATTCCGAGCCCTGTGGTCCCTTAATGTAGAAGCTGCTAATTCTTGTGCTATCCGGATTGTGTTTCCACAATAGTTGAATTGTTTCTTTCTGGCTGCTTGCCAATATTTTCTCCTTGACTTGGGAACTCTGGAATTTGGCTACAATATTCCTAGGAGTTTTCCTTTGGGGATCTCTTTCAGGAGGTGATTAGTGGATTCTTTCAATTTCTATTTTGCCTTCTGGTTCTAAAATATCAGGGCAGTTTTCCTTGATAATTTGAAAGATGATGTCTAGGCTTTTGTTTTGATCATGGCTTTCAGATAGTCCAATAATTTTTAGATGATCTCTCCTGGATCTATTTTCCAGGTCAGTTTTTTTTCCAATGAGATATTTCACATTGTTTTCTATCTTTTCATTCTTTCAGTTTTGTTTTACAGTGTCTTGATTTCTCATAAAGTCACTAGCTTCCAGTTGTTCCATTCTGATTTTTTTTTCAGCCAAAGACTAGGTTTATTAGAACATCTGTCATATTGGGTAGACTCTTAAGGAGTCTGAACATTAGTGAGTTATTGGCTAGATTTTAAGAATCTGAGCAGTAGCTAGATTTTAAGAATCTAAGCATCTTAATGAAGACAAGATGGACTTTATACACAGAAAGACTATGGGAGGGACCTAGGAGTGACCAAGGGAGAATAGAGCCTAGATAGGATTAAGGGTGGGAAGTGGCCAGAGGCTTTAGGGAGGTAAGACAATGGAGGGCTAAACTAGGTTAAGGGTAACAGAATTGGGAGATTGAGTGTAGCCATAATGAAAGGCCAGTTGATGGGATTATAGCCTCAGACAAATGTCAGAGATCTGGCCTTGTGGAAGTCTAGGGTTTTTTGTTTTTGGGGTCTAGATCCCAACTTCATCATTCTCCCCTCAAACAAATGGGACCCAAATTCTTTTGGGGTCAGGGACAAAGGTCTTGGCTTCTGAAACTGCTTCCTACTGGCAAGGGGCATAGAGCTGTCCCTTCCTTGAGGGGGTACCACAGAGGAAGTTGATTGGAACTGAGCACATGCTGCATCCATGGAACAATGGGGGAACATTGGCTGGTACCTGATATTTCTGTCAACTGTAGGTGAATGACCCATAGTCCAAGCCCAGAGGCCAGCTTCTTTACCTTGAGGAGGGTGTGCTGCACCTGGGTGCAGCTTCCTTGACAGCTATTTCTTACATGGTATCAAATTACTGTGATGATTATGATGTGGTTTAGAGGTTCAGGGGTGCTGGGACCCCAGAATCACAACACGCAGCTCCTGCGTGAAAGAATTCGACCCAAGCCTTCTTTCAGCCAAAGATAAAGTTTATTAGAACATTGTCATATTGGGCAGACTCATAAGAAATTTGAACATGAGTAAGCAGTGGCTAGATTAAAAGAATCTAACCCCTGGCTAGATTTTAAGAATCCCAGCAGTGGCTAGATTATAAGAATCCCAGCATCTTAATGGAGACAAGATGGATCTTATATGCAGAAAGCCTGTGGGGGAGGGATCTAGGAGTGGCCAAGTAGTCTGTGAGGCAATGGAATTCTGGGGAAATGGAGCCGAGATAGGACCTAGGTTGGGAAGTGGCCTGGGGCCATGGGGAGGCAAGCCGATGGAGGGGAGATTGGATGTAGCCACAGTGAAAGGCCAGTTGATGGGATTATAGCCTCAGGTAAACACCAGAGATTTGGTCATGTGGGAAAGTCTAGGGTTTTTCCTTTCTGGGGCCCAGATCCCAACCTCATCAATTATAGTTTTGTAGTATAGTTTGAGATCTGGTATTGATAGGCCCTCTTCCTTCACATTTTTATTTTCATTGATTCACTTAATAGTCTTGACCTTTTGTTAGTATTTTTTCTATCTCTGTGAAGAGGTTCTTTGGTAGTTTTGTTACGGTCTGAGAGGTTGAGACCCCTCAAAGACTGGAGTACAGGACGGGGTCATCTGGAATGAATTCACACACTCAAGCATTCTTTAAGTCAAGTTGGCAAAAAGTTTATTGTTACGCTTTTCAGCAGGCAAGGATTCTTAAGGAACCTGAGACCTTAGAGGGGTACAGTTAAAGTTTATATAGGATATAATACAATAAAACGTGTGCCTGTTATGCTAACTAGGTGATTCAGGGTGGTTTAGGGAGTGGTTAAAGAGTGGTCAGTTCTTAAAGGAACATGCACTTCTTGTACCTACTGCACAGGTGTTTTACCCAGAGTTCATTAGGAAAAGCCCACAAGGGGGGCCACATGGAGGTGTGGTTTTAGACCTGCTATGTCACTAAGTTAACTAGAGTTCAGGAGTAACCGAGAGTTGTCCAGTCTACCACCAGTCAATGTCTTTTTTGACAAATAGGGAGTATCCATATGTCTTAGTTCTAGAGTACAGATGTAAATAATAATAATAAGGAGTCCAGGATGTAAATAATGAGCTAGGGTGGTAGTGTAGATAGATAGTCCAGTGGGTAAGAATATCTTTATGACCCAGAGCAAAGCCAATTCAAACTAATAATTCCTTCAGGTGCTGTTTGTAACTTCACCAGCAAGAGAGATAAGGGTCTTGCTGGGGCCCACTATTGCTAGGAACAGTATCCTTGGGCTGCGGAGAAACTGCTAGGGATAGTGTTTCTGCGGCTAGGGAGAAACATGATCATGGAATTGCGGTTCCAGTACA